CGGACACTATATCTTTCGGTAGCTGGGTACCATCAACTTTATTCACCACATTTGCTTATGCACCCGCTCTGTCTTCAGCGATCGTGTCGGGAAAGTGAGCATCATGGAATGTCAATTTAATAGAACAAAGTGTTCTTGCATTAAGGGAGTACTTGAATAGAGGCCCAATGTCCATCTGCTTCGTTAATACTAAACCTATAAATATATGCACATAGATCCGTTTCTCCATCATCATATATAAATATATTTGCATATGTACATGCTTTAAACCTCTATAAATGCCCTTTGTCTCCTGTCTCTTTCCTCTATTTCCTTTGACTTTCTTCTTGTTCCACTATCATGCTCAGGCATTAAGTTGCTAACCTCAAGGTCAGCAGTTCAAACCCATCATCTACTCCTGTAAAGATTTATAGTCTCCGGGACCCATTTAGGGTCACTGTGAGTCAGAATCGACTTGATGGCAATATTGGGTTGGTTTTTACTTTTTGGTTTGATAATGAGCATCTTTTTAGGTGTCTATTATTCATATGTGTGTCTTCCAAAAGTCCTTTGCCCTTCTAAAAATTTGTATTAGTAAGTGTTCATTATATATTTTTGATACAGTCTTTTATTAAATATATTTGTAAAGCATTTGTTTTATTCTTTTGACGATCTTTTAACTTTCCTGGTATATTATGATGTACAAGTCTTTAATTTTGACATCCAAATTATCTATTATTCCTTAATTTGCATATGTTTGTGAAATCATATCTAAAAAATTACTGTTTAATCCAAAGTCATAAAGTTTCTGCCTGTATTTTACTCTTGATTTTTAAAATGTTTATTTAAGAAGCTTTTATAGCAGTGCCAATGAAATCTCTAAATCTCTAGAGCACCTATAATCTGTCTAGTCTAGCTAGGTATAACATATTTTTGCAATACTGTAATTTGAAAAAATAAAGCTTCCTAATTCAGTGTGTGCATATTTTCATTATTGCTGGCTATTATTGTTAAGTAGTTCTGAGGAGCTCTGGTGGTGATGTTGGGTAATGGTTGGACTGCCAGGCTGGCAGTTCAAACCCATCATGGACTCTGCAGGATAACAACTAGGCTTTCTACTTTTGTAAGGATTTATAGCTTCAGAAAACTCATGAGGCTGCTATGAGTCAAAATCACCTCAGTGGCAGTGGGTATCGGGGTTTTTTGCTTATGTTTATTCTCATTTTGCTATGTTTATTCATGTCTTTCATAATTTATTTTTCAATTACATATCAATCATTTTTGTATTCGACAACTTTAACAACTTATCAACCCCCCCCCAATAGCTTGCCCTCCATCTGCCCTTTTTATCATCTCCCTTTTGTTAGATATTTCATAATTAAAATTTTTAAAGGCTGTGTAATAGTCTATGTGTAGTTTTTGTTTTCCATGTAGAATTGCAGTTAAAACCTATAAGCACATAGCATTTGCTTTTATTGAATTATTTACAAGTATAACTTTCCAAGCATGGTCAAAGATTGAAAATACCTTTTAAAATAGCTCTTAAATGAAACCCATGTTTCCCTAGGAGTTAAAATCAAATTCCTTTTTTTCCCCCAGCAGTTTTATTCTCAAATAATTTACTTATCATGTAATTCAATAGTTCATTCATATCACAGAAAATTATATAATCACCCTCATATTAATTTTAAAACATTTCCCCTTTCCCATGATCAAATCATCTTTGAGATGATTCATGCAGTCACAATCTGTTCTAGTACTCCTTCCCCACTGTTTTTCATTTAATAAGTACCCTCCTAATTTTTTTTCACTTATTTTGAACTTTAATACATTTTAAGGGTAATACAATTCTTAGACAGTTCCATCAGTAAAGTTCAGTATAAAGTTATATGTATATTTCTTCACCTGGGGTGGTATGGGAAGCTGTTAGGGGGACTATCATACTGATACTGCAGCTAGAACCGCTAGCTGCCTTGTTGACTTGAGGAGAAATAAAGCATACTTACTCAGTGTGCAGTATGCTATTCACTAAGTAATCATAGTTTAATTTGTTTTTCTTTCTTCAGGCTCCGGGAACAAGAAAGAAAAGAAGCAGAAGAAGCCAGTCAGAAGGAAATCGAAGAGTGGGAAAGGAAACTCCTCGCTCAAGCAGCTCCTGCCTGTATGGAGACCATGTGGGAAATACCAGCTATTGGGCACTTCCTCTGTTTGGCCCAGCAAATTCTAAATTTGCCAGAAATTGTTTTTTATGAATTGGAACGTTGTCTTCTGATGCCTCAGTGTAATGCTTTTCTATCAAAAATAATGACTTCTCTATTGAGTCCCCCCCATCGCAGACCTACCTTACACCGGAGACCTACCTTGCCTTACAGGACCTGGGAAGCAGCCCTGCGACAGAGAGTGCAGCAGTGGTACACGGCTGTGGGGCAAACCGAGCATCCCGACAGCTGTGCAGAGAAGCTTGGCTTATGTCCTCAGTTTTTTAAAGTTCTTGGAGAAGTTAACCCATTGGAAGAAAAACCTTTCCATGAACTACCTTTCTACCAAAAAGTGTGGTTACTTAAGGGTCTTTGTGACTTTGTGTATGAAACACAAAAAGAAGTTCAAGATGCTGTACTTGGACAGCCGATCCATGAATGCAGGGAAGTGATCCTGGGCTATGATTATTTGGAGAATGCTTATGTCCATTTTCCACAGTTTTGTGGTGCAGATGTTCGGATTTATAAGCAGAAGCCCTTTCAAGCCCCAGAATTTCCAGTTCCACCCATCAAAATACAAAGAGTACCTCGGATTAAACTGGAGAAATTGAAGTGTGACTATGTGAATACAAGTAATGGAGAACATCGGGGTGGTCGAGAAGGCCTGCCCTTTGCCTTCAGGAAAGAGCAGAGAAATAATTGTGATCCAGCTTCCTGCCCTGCAAAATTGAACTTGGAGAATCATGACATCTCTGTTTCAATGGAAGTAAAACCCAACTGTGAAATTAGAATTCGCAGGCCCTGCGAAATTAAAAAAACGGATTGTTGTAAAGAGAACTTGGAGAAGCCAAGGAGCCTTGGAGAAGTGACTGACTTTGGAGAGCCCCTCAGCCCAGGTGAGGTAAGGTGTACAGAAAACCAGGAAAAGTTGGGGGAAGCTTCCAGAGTAAAACCTGAACCCAGCCCATTAAAAGAAAATGCTCTGAAATCTTGCCAAATACATGTAAATGGAAGTCACAGCGATTATGCAGAAATGAACTGCCATAAAGTTGTAAGAGATCTACTAGAACAATCACTGCAGAGCCACAAGAAGCTCAAACTAAGTAAAATGCGGGCAAAAAAGAAGAAAAAGAAAAAAAAGAAATTGAAAGATGTTTTGAATGAAAACTTACAGAGAAAGCGTGAAGGTCTTCCTTCTCTTGCATTCAAGTCTTACAAACCTGAGATCCAGAATAAGTTACTGATCATTAAGAAGAAAGCAAAACACAAGAAGCACAAATCTGGTAAGCCAACACAGCGGGTAAGAGGTGCTCTTAGTGTTATCCAAGTCCTTTCTATTAAGTGTCTTCGGCGATCTGAGTAGCAGGATAAGATGCACATACAGGATATGTATGTGAGTGTGTGTGCTTACTCAAGTTTTATTTTATTCTCCAGAATTGAAATCCAGAGCAGAAGAGGTGAGGTATGGACCGAAAAATGGGTGCGCTATAGCTGAATGTAAATCTCAGTTGAAAAGCTTCAGACCTTGTTTGTACAGTTCTGTATCCATAAGTGATACTTATCATTTCCAGGGTTTTTCTCCAGGTTAAGGGGTGGCACAGGAGCCCTGGTGGTGTGAGGTGGTTGGGCTACTAATTGCAAGGTCAGTGGTTAGAAACCACCACTTACTCCTCGGGAGAAAGATAGGCTGTTCTGCTCCTGTAGAGAATTAGTCTCAGAAACCCACAGGGGCAGGCAGTGAGTTTGGTTTGGGGGAAGAGCTGGCACTGTGCATTGAGGAAAACACTGTTGAGAGGAGATGACGGGTATTGTTCCCAAGACTAAAATCCATAACCACTCGCCTTTCCTGGCAAGCTGGTCTCTTTCTAGGTCTCTATCCCACCACCTCCATTTCTGTTTAGAGCTTCTGTTGAGTGTTTACATTTTCATCTCCAGAAAAGAGTATAGTCCAACGGGTGTTCTTCATACAAAAATTCATAAGATTTTATTTTTTCTTAAACAACAAAAAATCCTACCAATAAAAAGTGCCTTCAATTCCTAGTTGCTTTATATGTTTTTTAAATTATTCAGGAGCTTTTACTTTTCCCTGTTATCCGCCATTTAATCAAATTTTTGTCTCATTTGGGCTCCTGAGAGGATGGATGGGATAAAATCAAATGATTAACTTTGTTAGCCATTGTCCATAAAAAGTTACTTGACTGGGAAAAATTGGAATTGCTTACTAAAATGAGTTGTAGTTTATCATCATCATTTGTGGATTTCCATTTTCTATCCTTTTGCACTGTAGCAAAGATAATGAAAAATTGACAGTAATCTAATAATGAGCTTGCAAATAAGGGATGAGTGTTTTGTTAGTTTGATAAGTTGTACTGTAGTAAATGCCCTTAAATGTGTTTAAATAAAAGAAATGTGTTCTTATGAGCAGACTTAATTGATAAGACTAAAAGTTAGAAACATTCAGTTGTCCACTCTGGTGATTATAAAAGCTTTAGTTTTTTTTTAAGTAACTTTAGAAAGAACCTCTTTAAACTTTGCAAGTAATCCATTAAGCTATACATATTTGAGGGATTTAATAAACTGCCTTTGACATATTGGTCTCTAGCATATTAAATATTACTTTAACACAGAGGTTCTCAACCTTCCTAATGCCACGACTCTTTAATATAGTTCATGTTGTGGTAACCTCCATCCATAAAATTATTTTCATTGCTATTTCATAACTGTAATTTTGCAACTGTTATGAATCGAGCGACCCCTGTGAAAGGGTTGTTCAGCCCCCAACAGGGTCGTGACCAACAGGTTGAGAACCACTGCTTTAACATTTGAACCATTTTGCCAGTTACAAAAAACTTTTTCTTACATTCCTACTATTCCTCACATGTAGGCAGTTACGATTTATGGTGGTTCATGAAATACAGTAGACACTGAAGGCAACTCTCAAACAGATACCAATAACAGAATGAAACCATTAACTTCTAAGGGATGGATTAAAGACAAACTCGATTGTGGGGGAAAAAAGAGAGATGTGTACTTTTGAAATGAAGTCAGGGTACATGGTGATAAGAGAGAAAGCCGCCCGATTAGTTTCATCTCCTGTGGTAGACGGTGAGTAAAAACAGTCGAAAGGCAAATTCATCAAGTGCCTGCATGCCTTCTCTGAGTCTCTGGTTTGGGAGAGAAGACTTATGTGCAGGAAATAGAAAAAAGCAATGCCCTGGCCCATACACTTTCTCATTTGCTTCTCAAAGCAGTCAGTCTAAAGAAAGTCAAGTCATCAGTGACCAGAATATTTGAATCTGGTGGATAGTTTATTGTTAGTACTGGGAAAACGGAGGCCAATAGACCAAAACTCCTTATTGTTGTAGCGATGTTCCATAAAGTGTTATAACAACAATAAAGGGTTGTTTTTTTGTTTTGTTTTCCTAAAGTTCGCTTCATGTCTTCCCAGGGTTTTGTCGTGGGCTACTTGATACTCTGAGGCCCCGTCTTCCCTCACCCCCAAAGGTTTTCAAGGTTCTCCTTTCATTTGCACATGTGTTACTGTGCACTTGCATGTGCACTCTGAAACTAGGGCTAGGTGTGTTCACAATTCTGAAGTCTTGATTTTACAAGGGTTGGAAACCACCAGCCGCTCCTCTGGAGAAAGATAAGGCTTTCTACCCCCGTAGAGTTAAACCCACTGGGACATTTTTGTTCTGCCCTGTAGGGTCACTAAGTTACGGTGACCAGATTTTAACATTGGTAAAGCGGGACACCATCGATAAAACTCATATCCTGGCGAAATAGCCACATGGCAGGCGAAAACTGTATACCCTAGCTTGTCGTGCATTCTTTCCAAAAATCGGGACTTTTAAAAAATGCTGCAGGACACAGGGGAAAATATTAAAAACCGGGACTGTCCCGTCAAAAGCGGCACGTCGGGTCACTTTACACAAAGTGTCAGAATCGACTTGATGTCAGCAAGTGAGTTATGAAGTCACTAACTGATGCAAGACTGAGCCATATTTTGGCCTGCTGTGAGTCAGAACTGACTGGATGACACCTAACAACATTGCAGAGTTGGGACTGGCCCTGAAATCAGACACATAATTTTTATAGCATAATGAGAAACTGGCAAAGGGAGTTTACACATCAGGTCAGATCAGATTTTGCTACCGTATGAATTGTTTTTTTTTTTTTTTCATATAAATTCTTTTTTTAAACCTTAGTTTTCAGAACTCTTTAGACTTCCGAATTGTGGATATGTGATTCTGGGGCTGTATGTTAAAGATTCTGTGATGTCTTGGAGAAAAAACGTGTGGGGGGTGCATTTGAATTTTGTTTAAGCTAGTATTTGCCAAATTAAAGTAAAACAAAAGACTTTTCTCAATGAATAGTTATCCACTGCCCATTTTTACTCTAGAATAAAGCTTCCCATGATGGGAATGGAGGTGTAGTCGGTTATGCATTCAGCTGCTAACCACATGGCGATTCAAACCCACCCATCACTCCATAGGAGAAAGATGAGGCTTTCTACTCCTGTAAAGATTTATAACCATGGGAGCCCATAGGGGGCAGTTCTACCCAATCCTACAGGGTCTGCATGAGTCGGGATTAACTAGATAGCAGTGAGTTCAGGTTTGGGGAGTTGTTTTTTGATGATGATTGTAGGGATAATTTTTAGTAGAAGGCACAAAGACAAATTGGTTGGAAATGATTTAATAATTTTAGTGTGCTATGAGGTAATTTTGTAACTAAAGCATTTTTATCTTTTTTTGTGTGGGATGGAGGGATGTTTTTCTTCCTGCTTTTAAAATTTTAAATTCATTTGTAGACATTTAGCCTCACTTCTTATTCTTGGAAGTATCATAGAAAGTGTCATCAGAAGCAATAACTTGCCGCCACCCTCCACTCCACCTTGTGTGTTTTCATTCAGTGCACAGAAGAAAAATGTGGCCTGACGATTAGAAAGTTTTCCTTATAGACCTATTTCCAAAGTTTACAAATTCAGGAAAGCCTTATTATGTTAACAGAGCAAGCTAGATTGAAAACACAAAATAGAAATACTTTTTGTAAGGAAAGGGGGTGTGCAGAGCTGAGAAAATTAATTCCTCTTTTTTTATTGGTTGTCTTGATGTCCTCATGAAAGCCAAACATGTCATTACAGAATATAGAGACGAACAAAAAGGACAGTCCTCATCACCTAGAGAGCCACTCCATCATTTCCCGTCCTCTTCTGCCTCTATGAAATGCTCTCTTTTCATACTTTTAGTGCCAGGTACTTTTCATAACATGCCCAAGAAGTTTGTGGGGAAGTGAAATGGAAAGATATGGAAGCCCCTCTCCCCACTCCGTTTTGTAGTTGCATTTCTTTTTCTTTTTTTTAAGTCATTTTATTGGGAGCTCATACAACTCATCACAATCCATACGTACATCGATTGTGTCAAGCACATTTGTACATTTATTGCCCTCATCATTCTCAAGACATTTGCTTTCTAATTGAGTCCTTGATATCAGCTCCTCATTTCCCCCCCTCCCGCCAGTTGCATTTATTTCTAGGTGATATTGTTGATTATCTCCTTTCTGTTCTTCTTCTTAAAGTCAGAAGGGTACTTTCTGGCCATGCATCTCTAAACTGAGCACATCGACCGGTACATTGTGTAGACAGTTCTTGCATAAGTGAACACACACAGTAGGGTTTAAGCAGCTATAACTACAGATTAACCCTTTCGTCCAGTTGTGGCATGTTCTTTTCACGGCATATATTTCTTATTGGAATTATATACTATATGCTATTTTGTAATCTGCTTTTTTTCCCCTTACACATTATAGAATACCATGAGCCTCTTACATTGTGCAATTATGGGTTTCTGTAACACCATTTTGTCGGACATTTAGGTGATTTTTGATTGTATACTATAAATTGTCCACAGCAAGTAGAGCTGTTGAAAATTAGCTTGATTTTTTTTTTCATTTGATTGAGCAATTTTTATAAAACCCAAAGAACAGACAAAAATAGTTTACAGAAGTTATGGTTTCTATTCCCTTTCAACCAGTTAGTTTGGGATAGTCCTCCTGGAGTAACGACAAAGTTGTGCTTATCACGCAAATCATTTACTGATAGTCTTACAAAACCGCGTGTGTCTGTGTTGGGAATCTTCTTAGAGGACCAACCAAGGTACCAAGATAGAACAAGAGAGGCAAGATTTCCCTATACTCCCATCTCCTTTAATTCCCGCTACTACCTACATAACCCTCTCACCAAAAAGCTGCTCACCTAATGCATATCAGATGCCAGGTGTTC